CGGGGTGAAGCTTATCTATGAGAGCTGATTACATGAGTAAATACAGTATTTACAAGTTTTAGGGAGTGTCTTCCTCATTCAAGTGCCCTTGATTTCTTTCAGTACTTAGTTCAAGTGGCTGCTGGAGCCCTGTCTTTTCTATTGGCAGTCCTACTGCATGTTTAGTTATTGTTGAGGTACATTCTCTTYGTMAGGGTCACCACGGGGGCAGGACACTGCTTGTAGCCTTTCTTAGTGTAGGCCTCTGACACTTTTCCATTGACCATGACCATCATAGACATGATATCAAACCTTTCACAGTAAGTATGAAAGACATCACAAAGATGGGAAATATACCAAGATCCATGCTGAGTACTACGCCAACTAACATAGCCTAAGATAAGGAGAAAAGAGAGATTTTAAGCTGAGTTATCCATGGCTGTGCTCAAGGGTTTCATGAGGGATTGTGAGCTTCCAGATTTTAAAACAGTGAAGAAGGCAACTGACTGCAAAATTGCACAATTATTGGTTTAAATTCCATCCAAATTAACAGTAGGAACGTGATGAAATTGGGTACTCTATTAATTTGCAAACAAAATCTCATCTTTCAAAACTTTGTCTGCATGGGTGGGGTTGGAGGGGTTTATATTGATTTGTAATCTGTTTACCTGGCGGAGTGGCATATCCTAGAAGGAAGTGACCTTCATTTGGCTCGGCACTGTGCCTCATTGCTTCCTCATCAGAATTCCKCACAGCATCAGCTTGCACACCTGGGTCAAAATCTGTTCCTCTGCAAGCTTGCACAAAGAACAGCTTAGGCTTGTTAGCAAGGGAKCGACATGCTGTACCCTTGAACTGTGATGTTATTTGACCAAGCTCAATTATCTCCCCATCACTGCCATAAATACCACCTTGGACACCATGACTTAGAATGCAACAAACAAAACAATCATAATTTGAATGATCCAACCTTGAGTAATCTCTTGCTGTGTCATACATCTCATGAGCGGTAAGGTCAGGTTTGACAATAACWTTGAAATGGAGCTTTTCCCATAAGAGTTTAAGGTTTTCCACATCTTTCTCAGTGCCATCTCGTCTTGGAAGGTGTAAGCTTCGATCTTGATTAAATGTTTTGTTGTTGAAAATCAAGCATATTCCACGTGGACGTTTATTGCTGGGGTATGAGGGCAATTGAAGATCTTCTTCATCAACTGGTACCATTGGTGCAGTAGGAAGAATGAATGCTGGTCGTACCTGGAAGTGTTCTGGTGTGAGTAAAGGTGGTTTGGGCGACATGGAGGTTCGGGATTCAGAGTGGGTAGATGGTTTTCTTGGATTTGGAACATCTTGAGGTGGGGTTTGAATCCTCAGAGGTGTATTTCCTGCAAATACAAAACATTTATTGGATTGGAAGAATATAAACAATAGCTTTTATYACTCAATCAATCACTTCTCAATGTTAGGATTTGATCAATAATACAGCTAGAGTCATGTTGTGTGAAAAGATAAATTAAACACCGTAAAAAAAGTAGGTGAAGTAACTTACTGACGTTTCGGACGTTAATCCTTCGTCTTTTTACTCCAACGAAGGATTAACGTCCGAAAAGTCARTTACTTCACCTACTTTTTTACGGTGTTTAATTTATCTTTTCACACAACTGTTTCTTTAGAAACACCAACGCAGCTCACAATAGTTTACCGCTAGTTCCCACAATAGAGTCATGTTGGTTGGACAGACAAAATAATAAGTTATGAGTGACTTTTATTTGAGTTTTTCCATTTTGACTAATGCAACATCATTTGACAAAGCCTTTTTTACTTGAGCTAAAAGAACCACATACGACCTACTAATATGATCAAATTGATTACACATACATCCATGAATTTAAATTTATCTCAACTTTTGTACAAATGATTTTAAACACACCTGATAGCAGAGCACTGTCATTGGAGTATTTTTCAACCTTTCTTGTAAGGTCTTTCCTGTGTATTGCATCGAAAATTTCCGTGAGCAAGGTCACACTGGATGGCCCAATTTGGCCACTCCTCTGCAGAAAATCAAAAATACCAAAACCACTGTTGGTGCTGGCAGCCCTTCCAGCTAAAAAATAAAAAAAACATCTAAATTCCAAGTTGGTTTAATGAGGATACATCTGAAATAAACCAGGATGAAACCTAGATTATATGAAATAATGAAATTTATCTTATAGTTATATTTCTTTCTTTTGAAAAGTTGTTATTTTCACTATTGAAAATTGAAAACAACACATTCATGGCTTCTCTATATGTAGGAAGTAAAATAAAGTTTATGACATAACTTGCTTTCATAGATGATTATATGATAAACAAAATATTTCATGTTTGCTTGGAGATACAGATTTTATCTTCACTACGCTCTCTCGTGAAAAATCTTTTCAACACTCAAAGAAAAAATCTGCTCGCCCAWGTAAWATCCTCTAGAAAATAGTCGTAAATAAAGATTCGAACTTCCAAGTTGAAATGAAAGAAAATGAAATGCAGAAAGAGGACATACATACCCCTCCCCTTGATGGGGTTSTGGTAGTATGATGCAATTGTTGCACATYAAAGTATACAATGTCACTATTACATGCAACATACTTAATTCATATTGCACCGTTTTGTAGAATTAATGTTGCTCACTTTTAGTGTTTGTTATTAAAAGCTAATTCTTTTGTTCACTATTAAAGGTCAAAAGTGAAACTTAAATTGACGTAGGATACATCGTTTTGCAGAAAAATCAAATGAAAGGAMGTTGCTTTCAAATAAATTGCTAAACTGTTTTAAATGTGTTTAAATTAAAACTAAGTGTGTACCTGGGATATTAATCARAAACTTGACGGCTTCAATATCCCTCCCTGTGAGTTCATCGGCCAATTGACCCAAAAACAATCTGAATTTATTATCATTTCCGAAGCTTGTTGTAACACCACTCTCTGGCATTTCTTCTTCGGTTCYAGCGTACGATGACTTTGCTCTACTCACTAAGTCCTTTCTGTCGCAATTGTTGAGCAAATCCAACAGGAATGTGATGTTAGAAGGTGTAATCAATGATCTGTTCATTAGAAGAATGAAAAACTCTCGTGCAGTTTGGGCTTGATCAAGATGTCCAGTCGTAATTTTGTCACTGCAGAGGTATTTCATTTTCTCAAGGTCTTCGGACCTGATTTGGTCGGCAATTTCGTTGAGAAAAAGATGGAAACGCGAAGTCATCATGAAATCCCTCCTTGAAGAAGGCTTCCACTYGCAATCTGGTGAAATTTRTAGGAGGGAAATTCCCAGAACATCACTTTACTTTCAGTCTGACATCGTCTTACAAAACTTCCGAAAATGTACGAGTCGATAAATATTCGGAAATATATTTTTTCCTAAATAATAGGTAGGAATAGGTAAAGAGCAAAATTACTCGGCAGAAAAGTGACAATTTCATATATCTTGCTGTAAATTTTTATCCGGATCTTTTTGACTTCTACTAATATTCGAAAATGAAGATATATTACTTTAGTCGATAATATATCGGAAAATTTCCGAAGTTCCGAGCTMTTATCSATCGCCACGAATCATTTCTCTTCCTCTTTCATAGTCAACCCCTAGCCGAAGCTACCTGATGTCCTTAGTCTAGGCCTTAAAATACAACAAAATGGTGCGAATAAAATAATAATGTTGTCAATTTTAAATAAATGACATCTCAATAACTATAGAGGCTAATTTTTTTAATAAGTTCTGCGCGGGATGGCAGAGATATTGGCGGATTTTCAATGTTGTTCGATATCGTTTTTCCATTGATTCACGTGTGAATTTTTAATTTCTTGTCCTTTTAGGGATTTGTAAAAGTCATAAAAAATAAGGCGTACTTCAAGCGTTTTCAAGTAAAATTCAAGAGAAGGCGTGGTATGTACTTTTTCTATACTATAGCAGAAACATCTCAAGAAACGTGAGATTGAAAATGAATTTGTTTGGACTTCACAGAAGGAAAAACAGACTACTACGCGCGTAAACGGCTTATTTGCCARGACAAGAACAAGTACAACACGCCAAAGTACCGTCTTATTGTACGTATCACTAACAAGGACATAATTTGCCAGGTAAGTACAATTTCACGGTTTGAAAGCAGACGAGTTGAATTGCTAGCGCTCTCATTGTGATGATGATGCAATCTCGAATTTGGGATTTTTCCCCTGTTCATTAKTATTGCATAGGGCATTGTATTYTGTGTATTCATACCATCATCATTATTTTTTACACTCGTCTTTTTTTCTGTTTTTCAGGTAGCGTATGCCAAAATTGAGGGAGACAAGATTATTGCTGCTGCATACTCTCATGAGCTCCCCAATTACGGCATCAAGGTCGGGTTGACTAACTATGCAGCGGCATATTGTACTGGTCTGCTGATTGCTCGTCGTGTAAGTAAAGTGTTTCCCTCGACTTTGTTCCATTCACACTCTTCCCTCTACCCAGTCTTTCCCTTCCCCAATCYAGCTAGGCCCAAACATCGGCTTATTTGATTGGTGAATTTAATGTATTTYGTCTTGGTTTTTACCTTTTTTCATTCACTTGTCTTTTGTGTTTGGTTGAAAAAAAAATCAACAGTTTTGAAACTATCATCATTAATTTTATAGCAAAGAAGCATGGTAACTATTTTGGCCGAGATTTCTGAAATCAAAAGTTCCAGGCTTTCCTTCATTTGCTTTTTAATACATTTATTAGTGAAAATTAGAAATCTAGAAAATTACTTTTGGTTTCAATATTTCTATATAAACATTTCTGCTAGTTATATTACAGTCACATTTATTATTGTCATTTATCATTGCTTTATAATGACTTTTGCCCCAATTGGAAACMGCACTTTATCAGTAAAGTGGCCAACATAATAAAGTGAAGTTGTTTGTAGTATGCACATGTATGTTTTGAAATATAGCTACTCACTGCTCTCAACCTACACGAAATCTACACTGGAAATGATGATGTGAATGGAGATGAATTCAATGTGGAAAGTGTTGATGGCGCCCCTGGTGCTTTCCGTTGCTTCCTGGACATTGGTTTGGCCCGTACCACAACTGGTGCCAGGGTCTTTGGTGCATTAAAGGGTGCTGTTGATGGTGGCTTGGACATYCCTCACAGCATGAAGAGATTCCCAGGCTATGACTCAGAGTCCAAGGAATTCAATGCTGAGATCCATCGTAAGCACATATTTGGTCAGCATGTTGCTGATTACATRCGGCAGTTGGCTGAAGATGACGAGGATGCCTACAAGCGTCAGTTTTCTCTGTTCATTAAGGAGGGAGTTGATGCTGATAGTGTAAGTATGACRTGTTTTAAACAAGCTTGGGACTGTGTGTCAGTTTTCAGAGGCAGGTTCAAAAMCAAATTAGTATTAATCAAGAATTAACATCTCGTTATCAAGATTGTTTACAATTATACTACCCTCTTTCGAATAACCAAGCGTCATTCTTTGAAATATCTAGAGCATTGTAAAGAAATAGATACATGTAAGGCTGCCCTTCTTGGCCCTCTTAATGTGAAGAGTCAAGGAAACATCTATAATAGAATTGCATTTGACTCTTTGAATGAATATCTCAGCATATACCCTACCTTTGTAGATATTGCATTCTTTAAGATGTATTTATAAGTGTATTTAATATTTTTGTTAATGTTTGTTTGCACAGATTGAAGCATTGTACAAGAATGCTCACAGTGCCATCAGAGCCAATCCTGTACGCAAGGAGAAGMCAAAACGAGATGTAACCTCTAGAAGGTAAGATGTGGTAGAGTACATACTTATCCTCTTATCACTCACATTTTTTTTCCTTTTAAACCTGTGAACTTTTGATATTTTTACACTAGCTATCTAACGTAACTGCGAGGGCTGATTTACCTGTAATTGTATTTAGAGTCATCTTAATAAATTGTTGTTGTTGTTGTTGTAAAGACATCGAACTTGTGAAACAGAGTCTTAGATGCTTTTTTCATGAGGTAGGGTGCTCCTAGGTTGTATGAAATAAAAACTAAAGAGAACAGGGCATCGTACCTCATGTAAACAGCTCCTAATGTTAAAGTGTATCATCTCAACAGACTCTTAACAAACAATAGAAAGAGTGTCAACTAAAGCTTAGAATGCATTCATGAAATAGTTTGATAACTTAATTTTCAAATTTGTCCAAAAACATTGGTCTTACATTTTAATTTTGTACAGATTTGTTTATTAATTTCTGACAAAGTGTTTCATGGAAATCATAAACGCATCCTATCATTGTACATCTACTGCACATGCCCAGTGCACTCATTTCATGATTAATGCTGATCATTTATCATGAATCTCGATGTTTCCCATGGTTACGTACAGCTAATGATATTTGTGTTGCCCAGGTTTAACCGCAAGAAGATGTCAAGGCAACAGCGTAAGGATCGTGTGAAGCAGAGACAGCAGGCTTTTCTTCGTGCRAAGGAAAATGATGAATAAGAATCAATAAATGTTCTCTGAGCAACATTGTTGCACAGAAATTCATCAGAATTTGTGTCGTTGTTTTTCCCCTGATACAGCAATAATACAGGGATCATATTAGCCTGATATTTTCAAGTGGTCTTTACTTTGAGGTATATCTATTTTAAGTGCGTCATYTGTTTTGTGGTTGTTTTGCAATCATCCAAGGAGAGTCAACTAAAAATTGTTGATTTGATTTTCCAGGGAACAATTTCAATTATCCTGTGACATAACCCTATTTTTCCCCAGGGGGTGTGCACCCACCCATTCCATTAATGTTACACCCCCTTGGTAAAAATGAATCTGCCGTTGGTCCTTTATAAAAAGAATTACTGCTTGTGGCATAGATTACAAATTGCAAAAATAGTCAAACAAATTTAAGAGACCTATTTTTTTCATTTGTTCTTTTATTGAAATAATTTAAGTACAATCATGCATTAGTATCCTATTTTACAATACAGAGACGGTTTTTTACATCGAGGCGAAATCAGAAAACCCAAGAAATAGATATTACATTAATGGGGTTTAATGACCACACCCTATCAAATTTTGTCCCACGTGCCTAGTTGCAATAATGTCTAAAGATGCTGTTACATGTGCAATTTTTTCCAGCATGCGACTTGTCTTGCAATGCCGTTGAGATGAGAAGTTGCTGGAAGAAATGTGCAACTTTTCATTGAAGCATTGCGTGAAATAATTAAAACTCTGGTCTACTTTTTGTGAAGCACTGAAGCAACTTGCAATGCCGTTGCACAGTGAATCGCCCCTTGAGCAGCTTTTCCTGCAATTGACATAACCTGTTAGAGGATGAAATAGCACAGAGTAACAGCATCTTAATATTTTTGATGTATGCTAATGGTGGGAGATATTATCAATTCTAAAACACTTACGAACAGTCAACAAAATTTTCTTGAATTGGAGTGAATTTGATTCCCAATCAATGAATGTGTGGAAAATCTGCGTAAACAGAGATTTAAAAACTATAAATGATTCAATAAAAAACAGCTTGGCCATCTTCACTAAGCTTTGCTAATTAAATTTTAAAATTATTATCAAATTTGTACAAACCAATTAAAATTACCATCTCTTCCTGAAGATTAAAAAAAATGCAAATTATATTATCTTGATGAACTAGTTCGAGTTTGGCAATGAATTATGTACATTCTCTAAACAGTTTTGTTTCTATTAAGCTTAGCCATGACGTCATCACACCGCTGAAATACTGGCTTCCGGCATTATTCTACAGGTAATGATCTTGCTGCCTTCGTTCCCATACACTGTCAGTGGTTTGAATGGCACGTTCTTTTCAACGTACAAGCAGAGACTTTCGTACGCGTCGGGATAATCTTTCTTTAAGCGAATACCATAAGACTTCAATCCCTTGGAGATATTGCGACAATAGTGTCTCCTGGCTTCCATGTCGTTAATGAACTCGTGCCTGGAACATTTTGGCAAGTAAAACACTCTTGTTTCCTTGGTGGTGTCTGGAACTGTCTTGCCTGGCGGTTTGATGACTGACTGGCTTAAAGGCACTCTAATGCATTCTAGTACAGTATTGAGCTTGTGGCGCGGAACTGGATGGCGCGGGAGATCGTCCAACCTCCCAGCTACTACAGCTAAGTTTAAGACAAATTCCTTCGTTGGATCATAGTCTTTTACTAAATGGACTAGATTAACTTTATGCTTGCTCACAACTCCCTCTCGCATCAGTTCTCTCACGGTTGGATATGAAGGTGGACTGGGCAACAGGACACACCCACTTGTCATAAATTTTCTTGCTTGTTTTGGTGACGCAAATGTTACCATGACGCACCCACGCCCTTTAGAAGCGTAGTTCTTAGCTGCGATGTTTGAAAGTAGGAGCTTGAGGTTCTCTTTCTTGTGACAGAAGTAAACAAACGATCTCATATAGCTGTTGATGCGACCAAAGTAGCATGATTTCTTGTGTTCTCTCCAGTGAGCTTGCCGGCATTCACGAGAGCAGTAATACGTGTAGCACGACGGACAGGAAGTGAAGGAGGTCTTCTCGTGGCCACGAATGACTTCCTCTTGTCCACACAAATGATGGCCACACGCTATAATGTTAAGGTCGTCATCAAACTTTCCCCCGAAAGGAGTTTCCCCAGAGAAGGAAAATTCTGACATCGGACTGGACGGTCGTGAGGATACATCATCAGGAACGTCCTCCGTATCAGATGCTATCGAAAGAAAACTTGCATCAACGTTTCTTCCCGGTTGGAATCGTTTGGATGGGAACAGAAATATTTCAGACCCAACGCTTTCGTCTTTACAGAGATTTGAAGTGTCTATGYCAGCAGTCTGGCTGAGCCAAAGTCGAGTGTGTGCACTAAGGCGTGAATGGTATGGCGTTTTTTCGGGACTGATGTCAACTTCAACGGTTTCATGAGCCTTATGCAAGTCAGGCATGGATTTGTGACTATCTGCCATTTCTTTGAACGTGGCGTGGTCCTCGACGTTGCTTTTAGTGGACGGAACGTCAGGGTCAGCTGTTGAACCGTCGAGTATACACTCTTGTGAAACAGATCTGCGATTTTTGGTGCGAGTGCTCACTGGAGTGAACGCTGATTTTTGCACTCCTGTAGAAATAGATTGACTTTCCGACTTTGAACGCATCTTGACTTGGTTTGCTCCATACGAGGAGTCTGTTAGCAAAGTGCTGCCTTCTACCTTGTCTTGACGCTCTTCCAGTCTAGGTTTCTTCGCGACTTCTCTAGACATGGAATTGGTAGTCGTTCTGATTTCTGCTGTTTCGGGAGTACTTGTTAAATCAGGATGGAAAAACAAAAGTTCTTGTTCAAGTTTTTCTGGAGTCGAGGGTGTTGCCGATGAGGAATCCGAGGACAATCTTTGAGGAGTGGACTTCACCGTATCTAAGAATATTTTAGTGTTTTTGGTCTTGGGTTTCAGTGGGATGCTGTTCAGTGAAGAGGTCTCTGAATCTGCATCGCTGCTGAAAGATGTATCGTTGTAGTCTTTACTTYTTGGTTTTRTGCTCAGTTTGGTGAAAACATCTTCATCAAGGTTATCATAACGCAGAGAAGTGCTGYTGATAACCTCTTCTTGGCTTTGTACTTTTACGGTGTGCTTGTTGATGCTAGTTGTGCTGGTGGTCACAAACACCTTACTACGTCCCATCGTGTSCACGTTTGAGCTACTCTGATGAGACTTACCACTCTTGTCGTCTCTCGAGGAAGAACTATCGCTGTCATTGAAAATGGCGTCTAARTCTGTCTCTTTTACGCCATGAGGTGTTGTTCTTGTTGCTGGARAGTCTTCTAAACGCGTTGACACTTCAACAGGTTGAACATTCCTCGATTTATGCAAAGGATGAKGTGTTTCTGTGYCTGCAGAAGTGGAATTTGTTCYGCAAAGCAAGGAATCCAAGTCTGTGACAGCAACCGAGCGACCATGTGTYTTKTGTTGTCGATCACCTGTTCTGTTCTYTTGACCACTWTTTATCAACCAACCGTCATTGGATATTTTGWAGTCGTTTTCCATTTCTGAAGACGAGCTTCTTGATATGCTAGACACCTTGACTTGTGTTTCTTTATCCCTTGTGATGTTTTGTGTTGTTGTAGTTGCATATGAAGCAATTGTCGAATTTTCTYTGATGTCGTAAGGATTGCGTTCAGGCTGCTGTTTAGAAGAGCTGTTTCTCTCACGAGGAGAGCTAAGTTTCTCATCTTTTTGCACAGACTTRGCTGAATGTTTTGGTTCATTTCCTCTTGGTGAGCGAGAGCCTRCCCTAGGCGATTCATTGTCTGAAGCYGCAGAGCTGTAGCCACTTATCGCAAAAACTGTTCCTGACCGACTTGAATCTCTCTGGCGCCGATGCAYGCTGGAGGAAGGTTTTCTTTCGTCAATGTTTGAGCATTCAGAGTCTGTTGAYAAGGTAGGGCTGATCCTGCTGATTATAAAAAGAATAAAAATTCAGTTGGGAGAGATATCTCAAACCAAAAGTGGAAAGTTTGAAGAAAGGTTGATGGAATATCACAAAATGATGAATACACAACTTAACAACTATACAGCAACATCGGCTAATAACTACATTATGTATTATAACAATAACAATCTCATTAACAACACAAAAATGACAGCATAGTTATATGTGCAACATGGTCTAAAACTCCTATTACATGGTTATTACACYTGCAATTACCTTGAAACACTAGAGCTACGCGAGATTGTTTCCTTGCTYTGCTCTGGTGATGGAGATARCTTTGATGTTTTATASCGCCAATCTAGAGATGAAGTAGGGCTGATCCTACTYCCACCGTATCCAGACGATGCGCTCGAGCGACGAGAACTAGAATCCTGGTTACTGAACTTCAACTCGGGCGACAACTCCCGCTTCACTGGCCTTTCCTCGTCGCTTTTGCCTTGAGAACTGGTACTTGAAATTGAATGAGGAGAAGTTCCCGACTCTTTCTTCGAAGTCTCTGCTTTCTCTTTATCCAGCAACTGCTTGTGGTCATTTTTGTTAATTTGGACGTACGGTTTGGAGCTTTTTGCGCTTGCTGCAAGTGTTCTATTTGAGATTCTATTATCCTCACCAAAATTTGTGTCTTTGGTAACTTCTGAGACCTTTTTTCTATCCGCAGACGTCGCATCTGATAATGGAGTTGGRCTATGTCTGCTGATCGCGAACATTGTTCCAGAAGAACGATGACTTGAAGCTCTCTGAAACACGTCTTGYACTGGAGAAAGGGATGATTGTCTTGGTAGGTGATTTTCTGTTGGTGAGTCCTTTGGTACTGTTGGACTATGCCTGCTGACAGCAAACATCGTTCCAGAAGGTGACCGTGACTTTGAAATGTCTCTCACAGGCGACAAAGACTGTTGCCTTCGTAAAACGCTGTCGACTTCGGAATCTACCAATGGCACTGGACTGTGTCTACTTACAGCAAATATAGTTCCAGGAGATGWACTACGATTTGGACTTCGCACTTCAGATTTCTCTGGTTTTACTTCGCTTTCAGCGTCTTTCAAAGGTGTTGGACTGTGTCTACTGATTGCAAACAAAGTCCCCGAGGACGAACGACGACCTGAACCATCTCTAGTTAGGTCCTTTACTGGAGATAGCGATGATTGTCTTTCTAAAGCTTTGTTATCAKTGGTTGACTCAGTGAAAGGTGTACTTGATGAACGAACCGATGATGTGCAGCTTGGATCGTCTTTGGTTAAGTCCTGTGTTGGAGACAATGATGATTGACGTTCAAGAGATGTCTCTGTACAAGGTTTTGGTGATGGTGTAGGACTATGCCCATTTACAGCACAAGCAGTTCCTGGTGAACAATTGGATGGCAATACAATACTTGCATCTTCCTGTGCATGGTTTGTACCAAGTGACTCGTGTTTCTTCCCATCCATTGTCGAAAGAGCCTCAGGTCTTGACAACGGAGTTTCAAGTTCAGATGTCGTTGAACCTTTCGAGCAATTACATGTACTGGAGCTCTTTTTGTCATCTAAACTCGAATCAACTTCAGAGGCACAACTTTGAGCTTTGGGTACAGCTGAATCCGTAGGTGCTGCAGAATATGTCTCATTGTTTAAGGAAGTTCGAAAGTACCTTTCTCCATTCTGGAAGATATTGCTTTGTACTGTTTCTTGTGTTGGGCAAACTTCAGGTTCCATCATTTCATGCTGTGCTTTATAATTGACAGAATTCGAAGTCAGCGAAGTGTAATCACTTGTAACTTTTGAACGATGATCATTTTGTAACTCAGTTGTATTGTATTTTGACAGTTTAAGTTTGGATTCAGGACACTCCTTTTGGCTTTTAGAGTTAAAATCGAAGTCTATTTCGCTCATGATCTGATCTGCCGTTTGTTTTTTGTAACTCAGTTGTATTGTATTTTGACAGTTTAAGTTTGGATTCAGGACACTCCTTTTGGCTTTTAGAGTTAAAATCGAAGTCTATTTCGCTCATGATCTGATCTGCCGTTTGTTTMAGTTKTGGTTGTGGTAGCTTTGACAGTTTAAGTTTGGATTCAGGGCTCTCCTTTTGGCTTTTAGAGTTAAAATCAAAGTCTATTTCGCTCATGATCTGATCTGCCGTTTGTTTAAGTTTTGGTTGTGGTAGCTYTGACAGTTTAAGTTTGGATTCAGGRCWCTCCTTTTGGCTTTTAGAGTTAARATCRAAGTCTATTTCGCTCATGATCTSATCTGCCGTTTGTTTCAGTTGTGGTTGTGGTACAGTTGCGTGGGTCGAAGCCTTGTTGTTATGGAGGCCTTCAGTTGATAATGATTCTCTTCCACTGACAGCAAAAATAGCCTCTTTGTTTTGTGGTTTTGACAATGAAAGATTTTCTCCCGCTGGCACACTTTCTTCAGGACACGATCCAATACTGTTAAATCTAAAAACATGTTTTCTTGCTGAATCKAGGTCRCTGAGCGATTTCCATCTSGTTTTGCCAGGAGATTTTTTCCTGACATTTAGAATAACGATGCGACGTCTGTTCTTGTAAACTTCATCGAARGTAATCCGAGTTTTAAARACATGTTCGTCGGATTCTTCAAAAACCTCGTCTTGGGATTCCTGCTGTTGAAAAACATCTGTTTGTGACTTAGAGCGATCAGGGCGGCTAAAYGACGAGTCTCTGACACTTGACTGACTYGATAGTTCCRCATTYCTGAGCTCACTGAAACTTTTCGTCAGCCTAACTGGAAATTCTGGTTCTGGACTTGGTTGCGATGAGTTACTGAAGACGTCATTATCACCACAGATATATTCAGTTGATGCCGATTTTTCCCGCGGTTTTTGCTCTTCCTTTTTCGTTACAACATGAAGTTCATACAGTTTCTCGCCTGYGGTTTTATTTTCGTTKATASTGTGTTCACTGTTGTTGCATGAAGAAAAAKGCGATGCAACGGTGTCTTTTTCGTGATCGTTCTCTCTCATTYTGTCTTTYTGTTTTGCATTGATATCGATCTTTTCGCCGACATTGTCCGGATTAGTTCCTCTCGGTATAACATCATTCATATCATGAATAGGACTGATCTTTCTTCTATTTAGTTCGATGACTTCTGCGAGTTCAACTAATGACGGGAATGTATCATTACTATCATCCGCGTGTTCCTCCATGGTGATGTCCCGATCAAACCATTCCCAGTCAATTTCTTTAGGGCAGAGGGTTTGCGAAACGAAACTTTCCTTAATTTGAACTCCGTTTTCACAGGTGATAGGCTTTCGATCAGTAGGTGGTGTCAATTCAATATTACTATGCACAAAATCGTCAGTTTTGTTTTCAGATTCCACCTCGCTGAGCGCAAGTCCATCCACTAAGAAATTATCCCAGTTAATGTTCCTCTCATTTGATACAATACAAGTAGTTTTCTCATCACTTTTTCCGCTTTCTAGTCTTCTTAATCTACTGGCAATAATCTCTTCTGCCTTTTCCATTCCTGTTTTCTTTTGCGTAGTTATTTCAAATGGTCTGTTTGTAGATATCTCAAGGCCAATGTTAGTATCAGGAATGTCTTTGATTGTAATAAGCGTTTGAAGTTGTTTTTTATCSGGGATTAAAACAACAGATTTCTCAATGCTTGGCAATTTGTCAACTTTACGCTTTTCCACATGATACTGCGAATTTGGATCTTTTTCGAGATAACAGATTTCCTTTGATGCCAAGTTAATGCCGTCCGTTTTGGTCTTGTACAAGTGTTTTCCGTCCGCTTCTTTAGTCTCCAAGGATTGCGTGACATGATCTTTCTCTTTAGTAACATCTGTTCGTGCATGACGGTCCGTATTGCGTGACGTTCCGGTTGTAAATGGTTTGGAACCACTGTCTTTTCTTAGCTTTTTCTTTCCAATGATTATTTCATCTCGATGGCTGGAGTAAACTGGACGTGATAAGTCGATTTTACTCAATTCATCCGTTGTYAAGCCAACCTTCTGCGCAGAAATCCCCTTCTTAGATGACAATTGATTGGTATTGTCCCATGATTTAGTTATTTCTTCTTTAACTCTTTTATCTATATTATTAATTTGCGCAAAATCTACGTTCTCCGTTTCGTGGTTCTTGACATTTGAACGATTTACGTCAACAGAAGATTCATTACCCGAGTTTTCCACTTGAGATTTCTTGCTTCGTTTACTTTCCAAAACTCTGATATTTTCGCTGTTTGTTTTGTAGCTGTAAACATCYTTTTTTGATTCTCCTTTTATTGGTCTATCTTTACTGACAATTACATTTTCTGTTGTGTCTATTTCAAAGTCAATGTTTTTGTCCATGGTGTTGAAGTAATTTTTCGCATGGCTGCCCAGATCTAGCTGTTTCTTGTCAAAGCTCGCAGCTTGAAAGTCACGCATGGAAAAGTTACCAAATTTTGCATTATCATCACTAGATTCGACACAGTTCACACTTGAATTTCGTTGTTTAGTTTTTAATTTATCAATATGTCCTTCTTTAATAACTTTTCCATCAGGAATAACACTTTTGGGGGGCGTCTTTGTTAGCAAATGTTCTGAACAGTTGGACACTTGGTCCATATTGATGTTGTTATTTGAAKATAATTCATCTTTCAACGCAACGCGCGATATTTCCAAGCCATTCGCGTTTTTCYGATCCCCAGATGAAGATATCAATTCATCAATATATTCTTTATTTGTTTTACCAAATGGTTCTGTAAGTCCTTGCATAATTTCATCTATATCACTTTCTTTGTCCAGCTCATCCTTGTATTGTTTAACACCGTCATTTAGCATTTCTTGTGATGACAGAATTTTATCCAAGTCTGTCACTGAAACATGACGCTTGAAGAAACAGTTCAAATGACCTTCGGGATCTTCCTCCAACTCGTCCAAATCGATGTCATCAACGTCAATGTCAGTCTCAAAAGCATCTACTGATCCATGTTCTTGTTTCCATAATGAGTGCTCACYGMTGTTACCATCATTTTCCATACACCGCCTTTCAACCTGGTACGAATCCACCAAATTTCCTGGGATTTTTTGATGTTGATGGTCCATTTCATCACTGTCCTCTCGACTGCCATTTAAAAGATTTGCGGTTTCGTCGGATACTGCGTAGAAGGTCCACGCATGAGTTAATTGATCCGCCATGTTTATAGAACTCGTTTCACAATCATTAGGAACTAATGCATTGTCTTTTGAATGAATTTCGAATCCAATGTTTTCTTTCGACACAACGGGACTGACCCCTTGTGTTAATTCCCTTGATTTCGTGATTAAAACTGAGTCTTTTTCAAGTCTACTTTCAACAACTGACCTAGTCTTTGCACTGGCCGATATCTTTTGAGTGTCATTTGGTGTTAAATTCGCAGCGTTCGTGTTTTCATTTGCATCTTGGCTTAGTGTTTCCAGAGCAACCGTCGATTCTTCAGCAATGATTAACGTATTTGGAACAGCACAACTCACATTACTTGTGATTAAATTTTCAGGGTCAAAATCCCTTGAACCGGAAATAAAATGTCGATGGTTTATATTTAGGTTTGTRTGTGAAGTTTTTTCTACTTTAACGGAACCGTTTGGATTAGAAGCAAGGTTTTGAACAGCTGTTCTGCGTTCGCTATCATGTGCATAATTTCCATTGGCTGGAGTTTCTATGGCTAGACACTCCAACACGGATTTATTCTCTTGATGGCAATTTCGACGACGTAGCTCCATCGTGGCATTACGGACAGGTTGCTTGCCTTTGCCTCCAGTACTTGACGCGCAAATCGCAGCAGTATTCAAATATAGCGTCGTGTTGTTCTCAGATTCAAAATTATTGGATTCTGATGAACGTCGCTGTTCAATAAACGTATTTACATTGTTCTCGATAGTGTCACCCTCTTGGTTACTAGACTTATAAACATTTTGATCTTTATTTAAGTCTATATTCTCGGCATATTCTTCTTCTTCTTCTTCTGAAATGATGGGTAAAAATCCAGGAAAGATCAAAGACATTTCTTCCATTGAATGCCTCCTAGGGATGTTGGTAGATGTTTCCTTTGGTTCAGCCTTGTTGCCATTGGCGCCAGCTTCACGCTCGTAGTTTGAATAATGAATGCGTATTTCGCCGTCAATAACTTCATAATCTTGAGCGTTTTCATTCGATGTCGATGGCTCACAACTTGGAAATTCGTAGTTTGTTTTTTCAACTGTTTTGGGATCGAGTAGTCGATTTGCAACTCGCTCATCTTCGTCCTCGTCTTCATCCACCTCGCATTTTGTTCTTCCATGAGGCATAAGTTGCGTAATGTAAAACCAAATTGTCACAATTAATAAAAATACGAAAATAATACACCAGAGAATGACTGAAATGCCGGTTTCATCGTCGTAGTCATCTGGTATACCATCATGTCCTATTCCAAAACCTGAATCAGATCCCAAGGTATAAACAACCATTGTAGCGACAGCAATTCCCTCCCAGTTATTACATGTACAAATCCGTTGTAGATACTTTAAGGTGTACTATTATGGATGATCTGTGGCCCTCAAACTATTAATGGAATGAACATATAGTGTAGAGTAGATAAGCCTTACGTTATCACCACCGCGTACCGGTTCGGTTGACTAGCGGCTCCCTAGTGTTCCGTAACAAAAACCCCGAACAATACTCAAGTGTAATTAATTTGCATATTGCCAATAAGGAGACAAAATCTGATCAGACACTTTGGTGAAGATAAAACTATAACCGTGGAAAACACTAGAAAAGCGAACATTTGGGAAAGTTCGATTCATTTTTTTTTCTAGCATGTGGCAAAAATTTACTGTAGATTTTTTTCGTCAGTTGGAATTTGAACCTTATAATATAAAGAAATCGTCAATCAGCCGCCTTCACTGTCAGCAATACTCATAAATATCGTTATTACACGTAAAATTACAATTTTAAATTATTTCAAATTTCTTTTAAGCGAAGTAAAAWTTTAGATCTCAGGGCTATTGAATATGGACAAACGATTAGTCTTGTTAGGATATATATTGAATAAAACGTGCTTTGTAAATGAATAATTTAATATTTTAACAAAAAGTAATGGAAATTATGACCTCAGGCTGGCCAACCATCCATGGATATTCAACGTATCCGCTTAAAACAGTTTGAATGAATTGTATGGGAAAACATTTATACTGCACGATGGAGGACGATGTTTGGGAATATTAAAAAATGATTAACCAAAACAAAATTCTCAGTTGTTGACACACAAATTGATCAATATAAAATTTTTTACATATTTTAGATTCTTAATCCTGCAATCATATAAATGGATGTTTTACAAATTCACATGAAACCAAAACGGGTAATTTTTTCATGTTCATTTTATATTTACTTTGCATTTCTCAAATTTGCATAAAATCTTAGGAATATAATTATGGTAGTATGTCTTTTTAATTTTTTTTTTGTTATTCTAGTGAACATTATACTTAGTTTTCAGTGCTGTATAAACGTGAAATAGAATATTGGAATTTTTGAATTATATAGTCATATTACTATCCAAAATGTTTTGTCTAAGGGTCTCCATATTGTTTTCTCATCTTCTCCATATTTATAGTATTTAATTAAAGTAAATAAAAAATATATGTACTTGAATATATTTCTAAAATTATAGACATTTAAATAATTTCATCTCACAATTTTCATTGTGATTTATATATTTTTTAGTTTTAAGAAATCATCAAGTAAGATTGGTGTGCAAGTTTTGTATTCTCCAAGCAATGGATTGAAAACTAATTTTTTCTTGAATTTTGTAAATTATAAGCATAAACAAACACTAATAAAAGTTTTAAAAAAAATAAATTTACATTGACACTGTAAAAAATAGGTGAAATACAGTAACTTGGTTGAAGGATTAACATTTGAAACGTCAGTAAGTTTTTTCACCTATTTTGAACAGTGTTGAATTTATCTTTTTGCACAACTGTTTCTTTAGAAACACTAGTTTACTAGCTCACACTAGTTTACACCATTTTGACTAATAAAAAAGTCAAAATTACTTTATAAAAAATAAATATGGATGATATCCAAGAAGATGTCATCTTGAAATATCATTTTAGATAAATTTGTAGTGAGCAATTTTTATGGCTAAATTTATTATTCATTATTTCCAAATGCATTTCTCATCAGTCAAAATAACTTAAGACAATACTTAAAACTTTGCTGGTGACCAAGTAACTAACATTCATGCATCTCTAATTTAGAAGAAATTTTAGAATAACCAGTGGTTGGAAATATATAACACACTTATTGGTCAACTAGCATGCATTATGAGAACATAAAGCACCCATTTTTAGAGTTTATTTGCTATAAATGAACAAACAGCTTACTTGCTGTGATGTTTGAGTTTAATAGCACTATTTCCCAAACACTTAACAAACTATTAATATTCATGTACAACAATCTTTATTAGTATTCAGCAGGATTTTTGAGCAATAATAATTTTGTCTGAAAACACACTGGAGAGAAGGACATAAAACACNTGTGTAAGCTTAATAGAGTAAAAGTTTTCATCAGACTGTGAAATAGCTATTACCTCCCTATTTGCTCCCAATAAGGTACCTTCTGACATGGTTTTGATTTTGCCTTTTGGTAGCCTAATACACCCAAATAGTTAGTATTAAACACTGACTAGCAGTAGTTGTTTCACAGACGGATAAAAATGACTCAAAGTGAGTAAATACGTGTATACATGTACTTGTAATACAAATAATTTTATTCTAATAATATTAGCTTAATAGTCTCCTTCACAGTTACCTGCGCCATGTTGAAAGGTAGCCGTGCCTTTGCATCGAAGCAAAACCGTTGAGTGTGCAATGATAGAAACATTCTTTCACACCTACAGACAATTATTCACAGGTATCTATCATTATACGCTCAATGGTTATCTCGCTTCAATGTAAAGGCACGGCTACCTTTGAACATGGTGCAGGTAATAGTGAAGGAGACTATTGGCAATGCCCTCAGGTATGTAAAGGAAGGTTTTCAAATACTATATAGAATCCTATGTAAGATCCAGACTTCTTAATTCTTCTGAAGCACAATGATACAAAATTAGGAAGAGAAAAGGCCTAAAACATGTTGATTCTGTCTAATTTATAAACTTTATGTATCCCACATATGTACAGAGAAAATTCTGAGTTAATGACAGACATTCCTTGTCATCACCATGAGCAAGAAGGCTATTAGAGATCATTGAATTCAATCAAAAAAATCCTAAAACTTGACAAAAATCAGGCAATTCTTAAGATGCACAAAAGAGATCAAAATCCTTCAATGGAATCACTAAAAAGTTATTTATAGAAGAACTCCAATGTATTTAGTCCCTAGGTATTGCTACAACTGATACTAATACTACATGTAATTATTTTTGACAATGTTTTAGAGTGTTCTTCAACACTTACATTGTTTAATACTTCACTTATTCCACCAAAGATAGGAAATGCTTTTCTGCAGTAATCAGGAATAGAGTATAGTCATTTTTGGATCTTGATGCAACACCACTAGTTGATTTGATTCCCTTTAGATATAGTGTCTTTTTAAATGTATTCTTCTTCACATCCAATATAAGATATACTGTCCAACTACTACTAATATTACCATTGTGAAAAATCATTAGAATCCTTAGTTAACAATCAATATTTCATTAAAGTGAAGTGTTTCTTTTTTTGCTTAGAATGATTATGGGAACTAATAACAATATAATCCAATAGCAGTGTTCCATTCAAGCACTGTTTGTTATTATACTGTTTTCAACTATAACCTACTGTACATATGTAACTGAGACATTGTTTTGTACAAAAGAAGGATGAAAGTTAATTACAATAGACCTATTCCTTGTATTTTGTATGGATGATAAGATTCATGAAGTGGAGCGTGAATTCATGTCGTGAAAATATTTTCACTCAAAATAATAATGCTTAAGTTTAGACATAATTTTTTACATGGTATTCATTGTTGTTGATTCTCATTTTCATATAGTATTCATAAAGTTGAAGCTAAAATACATAAGTCTTGTTTTGTCCCTTTGTGTACAAAATGTGTAATGTACAACCCTGCTTATGTTAAATTATTAGCATGATCACAAAGTGAGCATTTGTACCATCCAACCTGGCTTGCATATATAATTTGATTTTCTCTTCTTTACATACGACTCAACTCAATTTTTTTGATACAACTCAGTTGTATTGATGCCAAATGAATGTTCAGTCACCCAATAGGGTTCTGGAATGTTGGTAATACCACAAAATGTATGATGATATGCACAAAATACCTTTTTGTGAACTTGATCAACTTCATTTGCAACCTGATCGCAACTAATAATAATTGAATCATTGGCAGTCTGTCACATTGAGCAAGCTTTTATTTCTCAGTACATTTTACAGTAATTACTTAGAACTACCTTAACTCTTAGTTCAGTTGTGAAAAAGGTTGGTTTTAATGTAATGCTTTTATGTGTAACTTGGATTGAAGTTGAACATGATRTGAAATAACTGCATCATTTGTTTTGGTACCATGCACCACAACCCTATGACAGTGGCMTTTTGATGAGGGTTAGGGTGATGATGATTGTAAGATCAGAAAGTTTGCTAGTTGTAAAGGAGTTTTAAAAACAAGGCTTTGCATCATTAACTGAAGACATGAAATTGTACAGTCAACTGTAATTTTGAATTAAAAAATTGATCAATTAATTTGTTCAAATCCCATCATAACATGACATGACCATGGCGTATGAGAGGAGCAACTACAAAATCCTTACAAATATTCCAGACTGATATTATGTTTTTTCTCAGGCAACTGCAAATTGTAGTTTCAGATAAAGTTACATGTATATTAAAGTTTCCAGATTGTAATTCAGAATATTTGTCTTTTTCAGGATWWACTTTTTACAAGACACCAGTGAGTAAATAAAGAGTCAACTTCAGGACAGTCCTCTAACTGGATCTCCAATRTAATGCTGATAAGGAACATTTAGAGGCATCAAGTCTCAGAAAGAGCACTGCTATATTGTGTGATACAACTTATTGTAGGTTATTGTACTATGGAATACAGAATCCTATAACAGAATCATTGCTGTGGAGCATGTCATAGATCAAGTTTAGACATTTTCAATTCACATCGTTAAAGTTTATCTCTTCTGTTTAGAGATTCAAACACACTTGGTCGATTAACTGTAATCAAAGTTTGTGTTATTTAATGAGAACAGTGTAAAACTCACTTGTCTGGTTCATTAATGTACTAGTCAGTAAAAACAGAGTATGCTACTTTTTAAATTTGATTTCTCAGTTTTAGAGTGTTTAACCRTAGAGTATATTCTTGGCTGGAGCACTGTCATCACCACCATGTTGGATTAAGATCACAAAGCATCCCCTGTTAGTTTCTGTTGTTCGTTTATCCAACATGGTGGCGATAGCTTTCTTCTTGATTTATCAGGGGATTCCTGGTCATATGGTTAAAACCCAAGAATTACTGAAATATACTAAATTTGGTACTGATTGTGGTTAATGCCTGGATGCCCACAMATTGTTATAGCAAAATAGAATTTTTTCATCCATTAGTTTGCATACTTAACAAGTACATTCTATGAAATAGCTCAAAGACTAGTAAGAGTGTTCAGTGCACCAACAGGGCAGCCAAGTATCTTCATACCACATTGAGGTGTCTCCATGTTTTTCAAACTCTGAAACAATTATGAATAAATTGTATTTTAGCAATGTTTGCTGATATGAAATGTAATTAAACCTAGATAATTCCTATCAAACGGTTGAT